ATATGGAAGTAAATAGGACTGCGAGTCAGCTGGAGTAAGACTATTTATGAAGAACGCTTTTTGCGAAGATCAGCTAGGATTAGAAGGCTCTCCAATCGCGGAGACGTCTTTTTAAGTATATCTCGAGTGCTTGACGAAAATGGAGAACGGTTCGAAAGAAAACTAAACAGGAGGCGAAGAGCAGCTTCAGCTGCTTCCGGACCCTAAAGGAAGCTAAAGACCAGCTGATGGACTCAGAGCTCCGAGCCCACCTGTTCGATTCAACTGTTCTCCCTGCGCTCTGCTACGCAGCAGAGATGTAGCCTGACCTGTGGCTGCGTCAAAGACTCTTCGAACAACCCACAGAGCGCTGGAACGACGTTTTATGGTACAACAGAATCTCGCCCGACTTCGCAGTTCAAGATCAAAGGCTCGTCTTCGCGATCCAGCAGACGTTTAAAACGAAACATCGACGGGCTCTTCATATGAGAAGAAAGATGACAGATGGACACTAAGAACTCTAGGATGTCTCGCGAAGCAAAATTTGCTCGAGAGAGGCCACTGAACAGATGGCTGACATGTTCTTTGCACGGATGACCAGCTAAATTGCTAGCGTAACGATTAATGGATCTGGACCTCGCGAACTTCGCCGCCGCAATTCAATACCAACAAGATAGATGACGCCAGAGATGGACAGCGGATGGAAACAATGCTGGGGTCTGCACGAGGAAGAGAGGCCTTCTAAGTATCTAATTAAGTATCTAGGTATTATAAAAATTCATTAATTCGCTCGGCATATGCCTATGTGGGCAATTTTTCCAAAGTCATCGTAGCTCTTATAAATATCATTTGTCATGTGATCGCCTATGAAAATCAACGGCCGCCACTTCCCTCCTCCACTTTCTAGGCAAGTTCCATCGGCTCACAAAGTCTGTTATAATTCGCTTTTTCTACTAAGCCGTGTCAAATTTTTTCCACTATAAGAATGGTAAGAAATTGTTTTTGTGTTGACTTGTTGAATTTCGGAGTTGTGACACCCACGGAGTGGTGGCACTTCGGAAAACGTCTAAAATTTTGCTTGTGTTGCACTTGCTACAAATATGAATATTTAACTAATTTATCCCTAAACTTATCGTAAACCTTCTCTGTAATAAGTTTTCTTCCATCCTAATCGGCATCCGCACGATATATCCAATATACCTGCACGTACAATTTGTGTAAATAAAAAAGAAACATCCTAGCTCCAAATCGGACTTTCCTGCAGAACTTCTTAAAAAATCAAAATTTTTCAGAAAAACCATCACCAACATAGTTATGAACAACAAATATTTGAATCAACGAAATTTCGAAAATTGTGATTTATTTTGAATCAGCAAAGAAGATGGTATAAAAAAAACAGGAAACGACACAACAACAATAAAAATTTAAACAAGCTAGATCTTATCAAAAAAAAAACCGGCGCTTATTATTATTAGTGTTGAATAAGCTACTGCTCCAGCGTCGGAATTCCAGGCATGTTTTTCAATATTTCAGCAACGTCTAAATGAAATTGATTCAAGCTGTAGTTATATACATTATCCTGCAGCAACTTACTTGTAAACTGGAGTTTCTCATCGATATTTCTCGTGCGTATGGTTGCTTCATGGTTTGCGATAAAATATACTCCATTCGGTTTTTCTTCCCATCCAAACTTCTTCGCATATTCAGAGACTTGGCTGTCTGAAACGTGATTCGCGCTACACTGAAAACGACACAGCACCTCCCCTACCTGTAGCACCCCCAAGTAATCGACTTAAGACTGTCTTTTCGATGTTCTGGAACGTTACGCTTATCACTCGGCAAGCATCTAAATTCAGAA